ACACACACACACACAGAGAGAGAGAGAGAGAGAGAGAGAGAGAGAGAACACAGAGTGGCCAGGGCTGTGCTCCTTCTCAGAGTGGAGCAAATGCCCACAAAATGGCTGCTGCCAGACAAACCATGATTGCAAACTCAGCTTATAACAGCGCTGAACATCCTGGGCCTAAAAGACACCATACCAGGTTTTCATTTAACACTCCCTCAGTGAAACGATTGGACATATACTTGAGTGGTTAAGAGGGTCTGTTAGGTTTTCGCCACCCACATGGGACACCTACACACACATGCACATACCTGTACAGACACATGCACACTCACTAAAATTAAATAAATAAATGAAACTAATCATAAGAAAACAAAACGTCCTGATTAGTAATTCACTCAGTTCTTATCTTCAATTACATTATTTTTTTGTCTGTGTTCAGCTCTGGAAAATTACATTCAAATTCTCATAGCTGCATTCAGATTTTCCGTCTACTTTATTTTAGAAATGCTTCCCAAACTTTCACAATCTTCATCATAATATTATAGCCTAGGCTTGACCAACTGCAATTGTTAAATATGTTTATGTTTAATACATTTTTTATATATTCCAAACTTTAATTCCATCATATTGAATGGCTATGTATATATATTATTTACAACAAGCTTTGGAAACTTCATGTTACTTGCACATTACTTTTCATAAACTGCCAAGTATCCAAACTATCCATGTGTACCTTAACCTTGCTTTGTAAAATCAAAAGTTTTTCAGTCAGTCAGTCATCTGTCTGTCTGTCTGTCTCTCTCTCTCTCTCTCTGTGTCTGTCTATGTCTCTCTCTGCCTGGCTGTCTCTGTCTGTCTGGCTGGCTGGCTGGCTGTCTCTCTCTCCCTGTCTATCCTTTCTCTGTCTCCCTGCTTTCTTGTAGCTGCTGCTGTGCTGGTGGTGATTGGAATTTGTATGTTTATGTGATTTTTTTTGTCTGAGACAGGATCACATGTAGCCCAGGTTAGCCTGTAATTGCCTGTGTATCAATAGATGACTTTGAAGCAGTGATCCTCCTGTCACTACAGTCTGGGTGCTGGGTCTCTGGGGTTCATGCTAGGCTCAAAAACAATTTCAAGTAGCAGCTCTCTCTGGCACCCCTCTCCTGGTCAGAGCTGTAACTCTACCCACTGTATACATCGTTGCCTTAAATACATGCAGTCTCCCCTTTTCTGTTCTATGTTATATGCCAGCTATTGTTGCCCAGTGTCATCCAGGCACAGTATAGCTGATGCCTCCTGAAATCTGAGCAGACTGGCTCCGTTAACAATCTCTCCCGGAGAAGATGGGGGGGGGAGTTGCAGAGGTGCACAGGAGTGAGTGTACAGGGAGTGGTAAGCCCCTAATTAGGGAGTGCTCACTCCTCCACTTACCCCAACGCGTATCTGAGCAGTTAATGCATGCTTCAGAGGACAGAGTCTTTTCCTGGGAGCTTCAGTTGCCCATAAGTTGCTCAGACTCCCACAACCAAGCCCACACCTGTGCTCCTCTGTGTCCCTCCAATTAAACCAGTTGGTTCATCAAACTAGACCTGAGAAAGTTTATGTAGTCTAGCCATGTACTCCAACACTGAACACACCTGCCTAGGTCTGCCTAGAGTCTCTGAGCATTTAGAAAACAGCTCCTGCCTCCTGGTTTAGAATGGCAATGGCATACTGCTCCTCCCAAGTGCTCCTTGTGTAGTTGTCTAGAGAAGTTCTATTTATCCAAGGACCCTGATGTACTCAGAAGGATGGCATAGTGTCCCAAACACCCTCAGTCATGTGGGAGCCACCAGCTAGGCTGAGGAGATGGCTCATTTGGTAAAGTTGTCAAGCATGAAACACCCATACCCACATAAAATGTGCACGGATGCTCATACTCACTTGCAATCTCAGCACTGATGGGGTTGAGGCGTAACTTGCTGACCAGCGATAGTCTAGCGTAATTTGTTACCTCCAGACAAATGAGAGACTGTCCTAAAGGAGATGGTCAGAGTTCCTGAAGATGTGCTTATATGCACACATTGTGCCTACAGAGTAACATGTGTGCACCTACTGTAGAAAGGCCATACAGATGAAAGGCAACTCAACACACACACTTTGTCATACAAAGTCTTATCAAGGATTTTACAACAAAGACTCAAGGGAGCCTCTGCACACAAGATATCATTCTAATAGGTTGGAGCCCATCTTAACAGTAGTTAGCAATGCTAAACTGTGTTCATTGCCCCAGAGCCCCCAGGAAATGTAAGTCCATGTGACAGTCCTGCTGAGCAATCAGCAGCCTCTGTATTCACTTTCCAGTATCCCACAGCTGGAGATCCTGGAAGATTGCCAGGCTTTAACTTCTACATTTGTCAATGTTCAGAGGTAGAGGACTCCTACATGATTATATTTGCTTTATTTCTGTCAAGTACCAGCTACCAGAGGTAGAAGAGTAGACCAAGAGGTGTTCACCAACATTTCTGACCAGACTCCAGAGGTACAGGGAGAACTGTTCTTACTCCTTAACAATTTGATGGAACAGTCCCACGTATCCCCTTCCCTGGGAAGATACCTCATCAAGGCCAGAGTCATCAGCAGACCTGCAGCCTCGAAGCTCAATTTTACACCCCCACATTCCCACGGGTTCTCTTTGTGTCCTTCTTGCAAGCACAGTCTGCTCATTGCCACCCCAAACTGCTGTAACTTGTATCTGAAGAGACTCAACCCACAGTAAATGGCATTGAGAAGGCAGGCAGGACAGAATGTCTGTGACTGACTAGATCCATTGTGAACTTGACCAGGCCAGAAAAGAACACTTCCAGGTCATGGGTCAATGCTTTTATTTTGTTCCAAGAGCTTGGGCTCAAAATCTGCAGAAGCACGAGTACTCGAGCACTATCAACAGCATTCAGGGCATGGAGCCTCAAGGCATCACCCAGTTGCTTCATGTGAGATTTGATCAGGTTGGAGGAGAAAGCAATGGTCAGTATATGGATGAGACAGATTCTCCAGTTCTCTCAGTTTCTTTGCAGACACTTGCCAGCTCAGTCTGCAGCCCTACCCTGTGACTTCCCACTCACCCTGGACTCAGATTCCTGAATAATTTTTCTTTTTTGTTTTCTCCTTCCAGGTGGAAGTGCATGGGTAATCCTGCAGGCTGTGCAGGAAAGGCAAGAGAAAGAGGATGTACAGGGCCACCCTGTGTCAGGGGCAGCAGCCACAGAAGAAGAAGGTACAAAAGAAGAATCCAGAGGCAATACTCCTGCTGTCTTCGTGGATAGCTGGAACTATGAAGGCGGGACCAGCAGCAGTGGCCAGGATAAGGTCCAACAGCAGGAGCCTATCCCTGGCAGCTCAAAGGACCCTTGAGGGTCACCAGGCCAGCTGCCCCGCTTCCGCCACAGGTTCACCCAGTTCCAGCTGCAGGAGCTAGAGCGCATTTTTGAACGCAATCACTACCCTAATACTGCAGCACGGTAAGCAGATGGGCTGGCTTGTGCTGAGAGCACCAAGTGCTCTAGGGAAGCTTTTGGAACTCCCCCAGCTCCTCTTCCCCTCCTGCAATAAAAACTACCCGAAGACTCCAGGCTACCGCAAGCCAGTCTTCTGCGCTTGGGTTCTGGGGTGAGATGGGGACAGGGAGCAAACAGGAATGAAGATATTTCCATGCAGTATTTAAATGAAGCAAAGGAAGGTTAGAACAGGGGCGAAAAGTCTGACAGCGTCTGAGGAAACACAGGATGGTCTTTGTTTAAAATTTAAGTGTACATCGTGCAGTTTTTGCATTATGTTATATTTTTTTCTAAGTGCACTGGAACATTTTTCTTAATCACTGATTTGATAGTTGCTGTTGATTATTTTTCAGGGGGAGGGAGGGAGTATTCTTCCCCTTAAAATTTCTTCTCAAAAACAAACAAACAAGCAAAGAAACAAACAAACCAACAACCAAAACTGTTCCTAAAAGCAAGATAAAGTTCTGGGAATAGTGACTTGCAGCCTGAGCAACAAAGGTAAGGCAAGAGGCTCACTGCAAATTCCAGGACATCTTGAGTTATAGCCTGAAATGTTGTCTCAAATAACCAGTCAATCAATCAATCAGTCAATCAATTCACCGACTGATCAATAGCTCAATCAAAGCCAGGGTGGTCGGTCCTTGTTTCTGATTCTACCACTGACTCACTGAGGAAGTTACAGCATGAGGATAGTAAGCTAAATGTTATCCTCAGCTCCATAGCTCCAAGAGGCCTGCAAACAAAAGTAAACCTCCCAAGAGCTGGGATTGTTGAAGCACAAGAACACTGTCTGGTTTTTCCCCCTCTCCCTCCCTCACCCCCTCTCCGTTCTCTTCTCCTTTCATCTACCTCTCCCTTCTCCCTCTCTCTCCCCACACTTTTCTTCTTCCTCCCCTCATTTTCTCCCTGTTCTCCTCCTGTCTTGCTGATACAGGAGCTCACTCTATAGCCCAGGTTGGCCTTGAACTTTCAGGGAGCTTCTTGGCTTAGTCTCCCTCTTGGCTCAGCCTTCTTTTTTCTGGTGTTACAGGTCAGTGCTGCTAACAATGTGAGAATTTTAAACTTTGTTTTGTGCCTGTTATTGTTTTAGTATTTTATTTCTCTGATAATCAGCATGTTGAACATTTTTGCATGGTAATTGAACATTAGAAATCCTCATGTACTTTTTATTAATCTGTTTTCTTCTTTTTGAATTTATCTTTCCAACCCAGCAAAGTTGATAAAACCTCCTTTCATCTGCATATTTTTGTTCATAGCTTTTACCTTTCTTTTCTTTTTGTAGGCAGAATCCCAGGCATTGCAACATTCTGATGTCAGTAAAATTTCTTTCAACGTTTTGTTTTATATTTTAGTGATTTTCAAATTGTGTCTGAGTGTCTTAGGAAGCATATTCAGTTTTTCTCATTTCTATTTATAGCAGATAGAAAATAAATTAAAAGCCTCAAATTCTTCAAGGTGAAAGTCACAGAAGGGATGCAGGGCTAAACATTTAAAAACAGATATAAAATGCCCTTTTTATTTTTATTTTATTCATGATGCCAAATACTGAACATGTGTAACTTTTGCCCACAGAAAAGAGCTTGCAAGATGGATTGCTGTGACAGAAACCAGAGTGCAGGTATGTAACTAGAAAAAAAAGACAGCCATTCTAGAACTTGCTTCACTTGAATACCTTTGTCCTATGAGTGAAATTGTGTTGTTTTTGTCTGCTCTGTGTTTGGGAAATGAGGGTGCTTTGTTTTGTTTTTTGTTGTTGTTATGAGGCATGGTCTCTCTACATAGCCCTGGCTTTTCCTGGGACTTATTGTTAGACAAGGCTGTCCTCAAACTCACAGAGATCCACCTTCATCTGCTAGGATTAAAGGCATATGCCACCATGCCCGGCTGGGAAATGAGTTTTGAATTTGGTGGTGTTTGTACGTGGAAAAATGGAGTAGAAAAGTTCCACAGTACCAAAGAATCTCATTTTCAGAGGGAACATAACTTCCTAAGTAAATATATAGGGAACCAATCTGGATTATACTAGTTAAATGTATTAAAGCTGCTATCAGGACCACAATCTCAGAACCAAACTTGAGTTTGCCTCGTGAAGCTGGATGAGGAAAGGATTTTTAAAGGTGAAACTACAAGAAGACTTTGAGTATCTCGCACAAGCAATCCAAGAGCTATGCGATGTTGGCTATGCTATTGCTCTCTGATCACTGATACCCTGAGACAGCAGTTCTCAACCTCTGGGTCACAGTCCCTTTGGGGGTCACATATTAGATACCCTGCTTATCAGATGCTTACATTAAATTCATAACAGTAACAGAATTACAGTTATGATGCAGCAATGAAATAATTTTATGGTTTGGGATCACCACAAAAATGAGGAACTGTATTAAAGGGTTGCATCATTGGGAAAGTTGAAAACCACTGGTCTAACATCTCAGTGCATCGCCCCCGACTTTGTAGACTGTATAGATTGAGGGAGAAGGACTCCAAATGGTATGATGGGTGACCAGGAAAGATGACAGGAAAAAAAGTGCTTTTGATTCATATGATTAAAAGCTTGGGAGCATTCAAAAGGTTAATGCAATGGAACCCTCATAAAATGAGGCAGTGAGAGGACTGGGGAACCTGATGTGTTTGCCCTTTACCTTCTCATATTTTACTGGAATTTAGAGGCTAGGCCTCTACACAGAAATGACCAACAGTAACTCAGAAGCCATATCTGTAGCTTCTTCATGAAGATGGGATTGAAATATAATTGGAACCAAGCAGTCACAAAGCACCCCTTAAATATCAGCACTCCAGAGGCAGAAGCAACCAGATCTCTGTGAGTTCAAGGACATCCTGGTCTAGAAAGCAAAGACAGGCAGGGATGTTGCACAGAGAAATAATGTCTCGAAAAACATAATTGGAGAGCAGAGACAAAGTCTCCAAAACTTTGCCATAAGGCTGGTGCTAGGGAGAATTTGATGAAGGATGAGATGTGGTGCTATCTGTCCTAGGGGGATTCTTCAGGGTTAGTTTTTGCAGTACTGGGGATGGCACCTGGGGTCTCAGACATTCCAGCAAGCACTGTTCCCTGGGGCTCAACCCCTCACAGAATAAGAACAAGCAAGAAGGTTTTTTCATGGGATGTAAACTCTCACTGGCATACAAACTTATACAATATGTTCTGCAGTTATGATTCTGACTATTTAGTACACTAAGAGAACCGTTTTTTCTCTTTCATTGTAGAACTGGTTTAAGAGTAGGAGAGCCAAATATAGGAAGTACCTGAAGATGTAAGTGCTCTGAAGTGCTCCTCATGGTGCCTGCTGCAGCTGCGCCTTGTCCTGGAGGTTGTGGAGGAGCCCTAGAGAGCCACCCTTGCCCAGAAGACAGAGCAGATGAGTGTCTACTACCACCAATGGGCTATTTCACCCCTCCCTGCCCTGCTCTCTTCTGTCTCATCCTTATCTCCTCAGCACTTTGATTTGCAATAAAGTGGCAAAATCTCAATATATTTGCTTCCTGAGTCTTTTGTGATTAGTATGATATGTATGAAAATGCCATTTAAACAGAATGACAAAATTATCTTCCACCAGGTGACATGGCTGAGTGTATCACAGGAAGATCCAGAATGTGAGAGTGGGTTTGCTCTGATCACATATTCTCTTTTACCTGTACCCCACTAACAGTTTTTTCTTTTTCTGAAACACTGAAGACAATTATTTAGTGTGTGCATGTGGAGGGGGGTGAGAAGTAAGCGGAAATCTCACTTTTAGGTGTGACACAAAAATATGAAAATTAAGCAAACATCCTTTGAAGCTCTACTAAAGACGGTGAAACCATCACCCATTGAATATTTTCAAACTGTTTTGAATGTCAGGTCTTAACATAAAAGTTTCCTTGCTAACTAGTAAGGATAGAAAATTCACACAGTCAGTGAACCTGCTGTGTGTGTGTGTGTGTGTCTGTGTGTGTGTGTGTGTGTGTGCCCAAACACATGTTCATGTAGAAAGTATACATGGGCTAAAAGATGTGTGTGTGTGTGTGTGTGTGTGTGTGTGTATGTGTGTGTGTGTGTGTAGATGTCAGGGGATACCTTAGGTGCTGTTCCTTGTTGAAGGATCCACTCAAATCCAACATAACTCAAACACTATGTCAATGCAGTTAGCAAAAGTTATTGTAACCAAACCAATACTGATCAATCAGGGCCACAGAACAGATTTGGCAGCTTGAAAGTATGTTGTACAACATAGTTAAATGATGAAACCGTAAAGCAAGGGGGAGCAAGATGGGCTGCAACACTGTCCAATCATATTTTGATATAATGTGTTGAACAAGGGAGTTTCCATTTATTAGGATAGGAGTAGGCTCCTCGGCCTAAAAAAAAATGAACTTAGTTTGACCTCACCAGTAACATGGAGAAGTTGTCCCTGAGATGCCTGGGCTGTGACAATTTCCTCATTACAAGTTTTCCAGAGATGTCTGGACTCAGACAACTGTCTCCTTACAACAGAATTCAGCTTTTCAGCTATTGGGAAGTCCCCCAGCTCCCCTAGGGCCTGGGACCTTGAATTTAGTTTCTCTCCATGATTAAAGGGAGTCTGAAATCAAAATGTTAGTACTTGAAATAAATTTCTTTTGCTTGCTTCCAGCATTCCTCAAGTGCTGTCCACTTGTCTTTTGAAATGGGGTCTTTTACTGGACTGGAACTCACCATATAAGCTAGATTGGGTGGTCAGGAACCTGCCTATCCCTGCCTCCCAGCTCTGGAATTAGAAAAACATACCATCACTTCTGGCTTTCAAGCATGGCTTCTGGAGATTGAACTCATGTTCCTCTGTGTTCCCATGCTTGAAAGACACTTTGTCAACTAAACTCTCTCTTCAGTCCCAGTAGACATGATCACTTGTGGGATAGATTAGTTCTTATGACCAGATAATTGAAAAGGGGGTTCATTTGCCAGTGTCAAATTATGCCAAAGCTGAGCAGCAACATGTGCCTATGGCATGAGATGGATTTCTTCTGTCTGTCAAGGCTGAAAATTAGACAAGCTTGCTGAGTAAGCCATGTCTCATTTCGTGAATAGTAGTCCCAGCGGGTCCAGTCTCTGCAGCTGCCAGAGGAAACTAACTGTCTTTTGCCAGCACCAGAAATACCACCTGCTTCTGTTGGAATTCAGGCTCCCTGGGTACCTGCTGGTCTTCCTAGTTGACATTACAAGCATGGGTAATCTGCTGCTTAAAGGAGCTATAGAATCTATTTGTATTAAAATCTATTTCCCCTCTGCTTTTCTATAAATGCTCTCTGATGATGGAATTCTATGGTTGCTTTTTAATATATCTTAATCTCAAAACAGTGTTTTGATAATGTGGGTCCCAAGATTGTAACTACTTGTCTGCTTTGTCTAGTTACCATTTATAACATGGTCCTATAACAATACATCTTCCGGCCACTATGGTGAGGTAGAGGTTTTTTTCTTCATCAATACTCAGTTGGTAGCATTATTTTGGGGAAATTTGTGACTTTAAACAACTAGAAGGATGATAGATAAAGGAATAGTTTTAAATATGTAAAGGGTGGTAAAAGCATAGCTCTAACCTGATGTTCAGTTCTGTCTAATAAAAGCCCTTGCTACTTGTTTCTATGGGGAGTTTGCTAGGACTGTGGTTTATTGAGTCTGGGGTGGTGAGTCTGTCTCTTGGAAGACCTAGCTCTGGGTAGCTGCTGGTCTTTGTGCAAGTCATTGGAATTTTGATTTAGTCAAAGTTTTTTATTGTTTCTGTAACAAATTTTAGAATGTTCTTAGAATCAAGGAAAGGCATTTTTGAATTGTAACCACTTGGAATTCAAGTTTACACATTGACAACAATTTAGATACATCTTTTACCAGGGTTTAGTACTTAATTTTGTATTCCATCTTTGAGAATTGAATGCCAACCTTTCCTTATGCCTGTTGTGCTGTGAAAGCAAATTCTTTCTCTGTGAGACTGTTCTCTGGAACATTATTGGTTTCTGAGCCTGTCTATGAATTATACATAATCTCCAAGCTGTTGAATTTCTCACATGCTCATTTAGATGACTATATGAGCTGACCAGACTGCACATAGCTTTGTTTCTTATTTCAATATGTTTTAGTTATTTCTATCCAGTTATCTCCCAGACAGAGCACTGGTGGGACACAAGACTCAACTTTTCTTGTTCTTCTTGGGATAGCCTGCCACTGTAATTTTTGCATTTATCTCAGCATAAGCTGTTGTAGTTTGGGGACACTAAGAAATACAACCCTACTATAAGTACCAGTGACTTAAAGATGTACGGCCCTTTTCTACATTAAACCATGTCATCCATCTTGATCCATCACTTTGGCTAGAAACTTTTGCTCTCTTTATATTAACTCTGGTAGCTGTGCTTCAGAATATTCTTTGTCCAGAGAGATAAAAGTCATTATTAAAATACACAATGCATCTATGTGGTTTCTTTCCTTGCTTTAGTTTGCTAAAAATACATATGTGTTTCCCACAGTGACATGTAAGCAGATTTTTTTTTCTGTTTTATTTTGTCCAGCTGAAACCACTGTGCAGGTTGAATGTTTTAAACCAAGTGCTGCAGAATTAACCTGGTTGAAAATGTCCTTGTCATAATAGTTGTTGAAATATCTGCCTTTCATTTTAATGAATAATACTAGGCTGTCTTCCAGTGTGTTCATTCCTGTCCTGTCTCTAAAAAGAATACAAATATGACATTGTGTCTAAAATATTTCAGTATTTCTGTGACACAGATATATATTGATATGCCCCTTAATTATTACTGAAGTAAAACAAATCTCTTAGCTCATAAAAAAAAAAACCCCACAAGATTCCAGTGCTTGGTTTTCTGAGACAGAGGCTAATATAGCTCAGGCTGGCCTTCAATTTGCTATGTAGCCAAGGATGACCTTGAACCTCTCATCCTCCTGTTTCCATCTCCTTGGAACTGGAATTACAGGTTTGCATCAGCATGCCCTGTTTTTGAGGTGCTGGGGATAAGACCCAGGGCTTCACACATGCTGGCCAAGCACAGTGCACAATACAATTCCCCAAGCTTCCATAAAAAAGTAAATATAGTGCATTATCAGGTTGGATTATTATAATAGATTGTTTAACACAAGGATGTCACAGGATCGCTTATGTTATAATCCTCTTGTAATAATGACAAATGTGATTAAAGCAAGGTATGCTTATTAGGAGGACCTAAATTGTTTGTGGCTTGTCATGAATGTCTGGAGAACAAAGGTGCATGATCTCTGGATAACATTGTGACACGCTCACCTATACTGTTAAAAATAGTCTAGTCAAGCTTTTCTATACTCACAGAACTGTTCAAAATCATTTGCTTAGTCAGAGCAGTGTACCCCTACGATCTTAGCATGTTAGAAGTAAAGTGAAGCACACCACAAATTCAAGGCCTGCCTAGAATTCAGAATGTGTTAATTACTTTTCTGTTCCTTTGTAAGTACCATTACCAAAAGCAACCTATGAGGGAAAAAGATTTATTTTAGTGTATAGTTCCAAAGGAATAGAGTCCATAATGGAAAGGCATGACAGTAGAGAGATCATATTTTATTCACACACATATTTTATTCATATTTATCCTAAAAAGAGCAGGATGTAGGGTGATGATATGAACCCTCAAAGCCCACCCTTAGTAAGGCTCTTTTTCCTAATTCACCTCTTAAAGGTTTCATGACTTCCCCAAAGAGTGCCACCAACTGGAAATTAGGAGTTCCGATACATAAGCCTATGCAGGACACTCAGCATTCAAACTACCACTTAGTGTGAGTTCCACGTGAAGAAGACAACAAAAAAATTAGAGATAAAGATGATCTTTGGTTTAATGCAGCTTTTAAAATCAGCAAATGTGTGCAAAAATGATCGATGCTCAAATTCTCAAATGTGTAAATGCAATTGAGTTGTGTTCCTGTACGCTACTAACATAATATTCAGTTGAAGAAAGAGGAGAATCTTGATAAGAAAGCCAAGGGTGGTTTGGATAGTCCTGGACCGATCCAAAAGTCCTAGACACTGGGTTGTGGCAGACCCACATGTCAACAAAACCACCATGCCCAAATGTAGAGCATGTTTGGAAATACTCTCCTGATCCTGTGGCTAGGAAGGTTGAACATGGTGTAGGTGAAGGGCTCCTGCCTATACCTGGGCTGTGAATTTTGGTGGCCAGGAGTGAAGATGGGCAAAGTCTGATGCTATTGCTGAAACAGTTTTTAACCACTGTGAAGCTGATGACCTCGTGGCCCTCGTATT